TTCCTTTATAAGCCCTCCCCCTATTCCTGGAATAGTTTCAACAGTAATAGACATAAACTATCATTTTTTAATAGTTTAGGAGCAATTGTTAAGGAACAATTATATCTTTTTGTGTTTTACCAGCATTAGCTGGTCATCTGGTCTACATTTTTTTTCCTGTGTGAATTTACCAGGAGGGAGTACATTTAACAATATGGCATGCATGAGCTTGTATACAAAGCCAGACCCTACATTTCATTATCTGTGGGACCAATGGAAAGTTATCCAAAACCTCTGAGCTCAAGGTCCCTCCATGCCGTCTTCAGACTATATTTTACTACTTAGGGGACCAAGGGAGAAAGTACTAAAATCTCTGACTTCTGGCTTCTTAAATGTGTTCCTCAAAGGATTATGATGAGCTTTTGATGAAATAATCTGCAAAAATTGATTATATATTTCTATACCAATATATAGTAGTAGTACTCTCACCCCCATTTTCAGGTATGACATATTGATGCCTTTTTTTTTTTTTTGGCAGTACTGGGGTTTGAACTCAGGGCCTCACAGTTGCTATGCAGGTGCTTTACCACTTGAACCACTCCACCAGCCCCTCACAGTTCAGGTTATAATCACACTCAGGCACACTGATACAATCAATTCTTGCAAAGATGAGAAATTTCTTGACCCAAGATCACCTCAGTCAAGTTATACCAGGGAGATGAGATTCTGGACCTACTCTTAAAGATAATATAAAACACAGGGAATACCTGGGTATAGGTAGGAGGTAGATGAGCTTTACTCCCACATCTGCCCCTTGTCCTACCTCACTGCTGCAAAACAAGGTACTTCTGAGAGTTGCCTCTGAATATGGTGTGAACCCCTGCCTTGGGGAAGTGGAATACAGCTACCTCTGGTGCTAGCATTCCAGAATCCTGCTCCATATTTCACTGAGACTAGCCCTGAGGGGGAACTCTGGAAATAGATAAAAAGAAAGAGCATAGGAACTTGACTTAAAGACATGAAGAATGCCTTCAGAGCCATATCTGTCCTCTTCCAAGGACAAATCCTCTGCCCTCAGTTCTTAGGCACACTCTGTTCCTAGTTGCTGTGATGTGTTGACACAAGTGTTTTCTACAAGAAGCAGCTTCCAGGCTCAGTCTCAATGAAGAGGAGCTGTTAGGTCTTGGTGCCTCACAGTCATGTTCAACATGTCATCAGCCAGATGCAAAGTAAAATTTATTTTTCTATGCTTTTTTTTTTGAAGGAGATAATGGTGGGAAAAAACAACTTTGGTTTAATGTTTTCACAGTTCTTGACTGCTTGGAATTGAAATTCTTATCAGCCATTAGTCAGCTAGTAAGCTGGATAAGATGGAAGGTTTATGTGAAGCAGATATGAAGCCCTCCCCTTGGTATGAAAAATCTGCTTTGGATTCTTTTCTTGAGTAGGGCGTGAGTGCAAAAGAAAATTTTCTGAAACTGCCAAGTGTAACATCACATGGCCGCCCTGTGGAAAGGGATTAGCCTTACACATCAGGGCAGTGCTGCAGGTGCCCCACCTCTGTGGTGACCCTGGCATCCCCATCCCTGTGTGACTTGGCACAGCAGAAGGTATGAAATGATGAGTTTCAGCTTGCATCTGGCTTTACAGCTTTTCATCTGAGTTTTCAGTGCTGGAGAGAGAAAATTTTAGGAACAAAGCCAGAATGAAAGCCCAGCCCCAGGGTTTTGGTGTTTGCTAAGGCAGAACAAAAGTCAGCAGCATTCGCTGTGATTCTGGGTGACTAGCAGTTGTATGCCATTCAGTAATTAAAATTGCAAGATGATTTCTGCTATGAAGGATCATTCCACAATGAATTGAGTTCCAATTCCATGTACACACAAGGGCCCTTTTGTTCCTCTCTTAACATTAGGGCTATCACCTGTTATAACTTCTATTTACTTAAGCTAAGCATGGTGGTTCAGGCCTGTAATCTCAACTATGGGAGAGTGAAGTAGAAGGATCTTGGTCCCAGGACACCCCAGGCAAAAACATTAGACCCTGTCTGAAAAGTAACTAAAGCAAAAAGGGTCTAGGGTAGCAAAATGGGCTCAAGTGGTAGAATGCCTGCCTAGCAAACACAAGGCCCTAATGTCAAACCCTAGCACTGACAAAAAGTATAATAATAATTTCCATTTACTGAGTGTTAGATAATTTAAAAATACTTCCACACATATTAGCTCATGCTTCATAAGCCACAAAGTGGGTATAATGTCTTCTTTTTGTGTAATCAAAACGTGTGGAGTCTTGCTGTAAGCATTTACTGGCCACTATTGGAGCTGATACGCTAACCATGATCTTCTGATTTCAAAGGTTCTTCTCTTTTCCCTTCTGTCCTTATGAGATGGTGATTGGAGTCCCACATGAGGGATAGGAGTCTCTTGCAGACAGTGAAAGAAGCAGGGTTCTTAGACAGGAGGGCTGATGACCCAATGCTAACACCACCTGTAATCACACACACTCACACCCACACTCTGGAGTGGTAGTGTGTGGAGAGGGTGACCCATTAGTCTCATTTACCTGGGACTCTGCTGGTTGGGGCACTGAAAATTCAGCATCCTGGGAACTCCCCCAATGCTGAGTAAATCTGCAGCTGATCAACCCATGTGTGGATCATACTTTGCTTTGCTAGTTCCACCTGAGCTTCTGGTAGCACCTCCAGGTCCACAAGACTCTTGAGTTTCCAATCTCTTGGGTAATTCTGGAGATTTCTAGACCCAGAGTCAAGCTCTACAAGACAATTTTTACTGAACCTGGACTCCAGGATGTTTTGCTTCAAGTGGTTACATTTTAAATATTTTTAAAATCCAAACAATATATCAGTAATAATAATAATAATAATAATACATGTAACCAATGATAACCAGGTTAGTAATAGTGACATTTGCTATTAATTCAAGCAGTGTCCTAAGTGCTGTTAGATCCTGACCACCGATCCTCAGGACACACATGCAATGTGGCTACTCTTCCTCATGAAGAGTGGTGGCTGAAGTCATATAATAGTCAAGCAAGAAGCCAGGTCCTGAACCAGGTATATCAATTCCAAAACCTATTTTTCTATAGCACACTTCTTAAATTTTTTCCAAGTTCCCCTGAACTCTGACCCCAGCAAATTCAAGTCGTGTGGCTACTTTGAGGAAAGCCCTTTTCATTAGAGGCTCTTACATAGTTCGGGAGAGGGACCAGACTTGCCATAATTAGGAGATGGGGTACCTGAATTTCATAGAAAGACTGCAAAAGGGTTTACAAGAAAATCTCATCTGGTAAGTTCTCCAAACATAGAATTAGAATGTTCAGTCTATATAGTCAATACAACCATGAGTGTTTTAGTTCAATTTGTTTTTTTATTGGTTACCTTGTAAGTTTCAGCTTTTGATATTTTATCATTCAATCAGTTCTCACAGAGACTGACTAGAATTATAAAGACATATTCAGATAAGCCTTACTTGATGTGTTAATTTTGGAAAATTTTACTTTAGGTTAATGTGCTATAAAATTTCACCAAGCCCTTAAAAGGGAGTTTATCAAGTAATTTGCATTTGTGCTGGCATTGCCCAAGTTGGTACTCTTTTGCCTTTGTTCATAAGTAAATAAGGCTTTGTTGCTGAGATGTTTATTTGGTTTGAAGGTTGATACTCGGAAGGCCTGTTCTTGTTCTTACCTGCTTAACTCTCTCTGGCTATGCCTGCCAGACATTCTGGGTTTCTCCAGCATTTAGTGCTAGAACAATGATACTTCCTCACAAGCCTGATCAACTGGCGATGCATGTTACAGATGGATTTAACTTGGCTAATGCTTAGACTAACTAATTATAATTACTAAGTCTGAACTTGGCATAAATATATTTTAAATAGGATCTACAGCACTTACTATATTACATTGAGGATTTGTGGCAAAGTGTACAACCCATTTTTCAAAGGAAGTTTTTGTTCATGTATATTAAACAATAAACTTCTAAATTTCCTCTTCTGGGTTAGTAAGAGTCTGTGTTCTGGATCTAAACAGCTTTGTCTAAAGTTTTAGAAAACCTGTTTCACTGGATCTCCTCAGTAGTGAAATCTTGGTGTTGAGTGAGTTTATTGGTGTGTGCTGATGTGACCACCAACCACTGTCAAAAATAAGGTCTATCTTGAGAGTACTTCCCTATCAAAATAATCTAAGAGTCTAAGAGTGTGGTGTCATTGCATCTTGCATTAGGCTATAGTGTCCTGAAATGTTTAGACAGCTGCTTTAAAAGAGCTAAGCACCTGCCAAAGTAAATGAAAGCCCTTTGGAATCCATGGGCTGTGTGTAGGTGGATGGATCCAAATTCCTTTTAGTTCCTGCTTTGTGTGTGTGTGTATGTGTATGTATGTATGTACAAACTACACAAATGTTTGAGACAATTCTGTGAATAATGGGATTTGGGATCAGATGATAATGATAATTTCTCTCAGTGTAGGACAAATTTTACTTAACTTTCTACCTCCATGATATCTAGGAACCATAGTATCTATATTGTGAACACTTCCAACTCCTTTTTCTCAAACTTGACCTTCTAGCATATATTTTTAACTTTTTGTTGACCCTATTTTCATTTATATTTAGTTGTACATTTTCTACAAATTACATCAGATCTTTGTAGAGTGAATTAGTAGAAATAGAAGCGCACACACACGTCCCTAAAATCAGCTGTGCCTCACAGAGCAGCTTACACTTAAGTTGAACACAATTCATTATTTTACAATATAGAAAACCTGACCTGCTCACCAATAAGGAGGGTAAGAATGCTTTCTGAGTTTTCAATAGGCTCAATTATCCTGCTAGATTTCTGCTCTTTGTTTGATCATAATAGTTATCCACAGAAGGGTGAGGCAGGCTGAGAATCATGTTGCTGAAAGAAGTCCTTTTGAGTCAGACTATTTATTTGAAAGAGAAGATGCTGTCATTTACAGCAGAGTGAACTAAGCATCAGTCAGAAAAAGTCCTTGCTTACAAAAATCCAGAATCAAGAAAAAGACAGGATGGGCACCGCTGGAAAAGTAAGCAGAATATTTCTGTATGCTTGTTATTTTTATCTAATGATGTGGGTGGGCTTTTAAAACTTTGAATCCAGTAAAGTAATTAACTATTTGGGAATATTTCTTGAGGAACAAAATGCCTCTTGAGCACGCACACACTGGGGGAAACACTGGGTAAATTGTTTTACAAAGTCCAATGAATGCAAGGTTAAATCAAAAACCATAGTAAAATGGTGGAGAAAAACACAGAATGATGGTTTATATTGATGTATCTCATAATTTAATTTCAGGACAGCAGGGCGTTTTCTCCATAAGTGAAATGTTTCCAGAAGGAGACTTCCAATAGGTTCTGTAGCATGCATTGTATTCACTTCAGTAGTTTAACGGGACCAGAGTCTGCTACAAGGCTGTGGGAAAAAAAATGTGTCCCACTATTGACAATGGAAAATGCTAATTCTGGAATGCAAGTCAACAACAAAATATACTTTTAAGGATTCCTAAGATATATTTTGTGCTGAAATATGTTTAAAAAATCTTCAAAAGTAAGACGACATTGTAGATAAAGGAGGTTTATTCTTAAAAAAAAAAGTCAGCAGAATTGATATTCACTTTAGAAATAACTTTGAGATTTATTTCATTTGCAAGCAGATCAGCATAATCCTTTATTACAAATGAGTAGACGATTACAAAAAGTGTTAGGTACTCTTGTTTGTTCTTATTTTAGCTTTGCTTTCAGCCAGTCTTAAAGTTTGTGGAAAAATAAAGATGACACTTATGCAGTAAGAAAAGAGATTCTTTGTTAGAATTTGAAACAATTTTTGCCAGAACCGAATAGAATTGGGATAAAAACATTCTAGCCCAAGCTAGAAATCTAGAAAAGCTAGATGATCTGGAAAATTAATTTTGCAGTACAGAATCTAGTGAAAAGGAAATTAACGAATTTTAGGAGTAGAAGGAATCTTAAAAATGCTTGAGAACCAGCTATGCTGTCTCCAGTCATGGAGAACTCAGTGACTCCAAGCAGCACCTTCCAATTATAATTAATGATATGGTGTCTAATACATATGGTACAATAGCTATATAATTTTGACTTAGATAGTCATGCAATATGGTGATTTGAAGAAGGATTATATTTCCCAAATTGCTCTAATGTTTCAGTATAGTTCGTGAAAGGAGAAGTGACTTTTACATCAGGAATTATTTTTCCCCCCCTCTCTTATTTTTTTTCTATTTCATTAAAAAGGAAAAGATAATTGTATCAGTTTGTTAAGGCTATGACAAAGTGCCACAGACTGGGTGACTTAAACAACAGAAATTTATCTTCTGAGACATCTAGAGACTGGAATTCTGAGAACAAGATGTCGACAGGATTGGTTCCTTCTGAGGCCTTGCTCCTTAGCCTTGGATGACCCTCTTCTCCCTGTTTTCACATGGTCTTCTCTTTGTGTCTGTATCTTAATTTCCTTTTCTTATAAAATCACCAGTTCTATTGGATTGGGGCTAACCTTAATGACCTCAATTTAACTCAGTCACCTCTTGAAAAACCCTATCTCTTTTGGGGAGACATTTGCAGTCTGTTATTATGGTCATTCTAAAAAACTTGGATATTCAGAATATGTAAGTGAAAAAGATCAAACATAATTTTACATCCCCAAACTACCACTGGTTTGTTTTTGTTTTGTTTTATTCCTTCTGTGCATTTTCCCATCCATAGTTTATTTAGCTATGCTCACTCAACATGGAAATATTTTTATCCTATTTCCCAGCTTAACATAAGCATTTTTCTAATTTATAACAAACAACTTATAAACATTTTTAAATGTCTAAGACTTATTTCTGGATTTTATTAGAAATATAAATATTATTTCATCATTCTTCTGGGCTTTTTTTTTACATATTTCCTTTCATCAATTGTCCTGTGATGATCTCTAATATATATTAAGATTTTTCTGCACTTAGTATTTCCTCAGGGCAGATTTAAAAGATGGAACTATGGAATAAAAATGTCCGACTGTTCTTAAGTATCTTGGTGTTCACTGCAAGTTATCTTCCTCAGGGGTCAACGTGAGTGTGAGTGCTCATTTTACCACCCCTCCCATGATGATGTCTATTCATTAAGTAAAAAGTTATTACTGACTTGGTAGGCAGAGGACTATAACTCATTATTTTTACTTTTTTAAAAAATAATTTCTATGACTGGATAACAAACACTTCACAGATTTACTTGTATGTTCCTCCTTAACCTCTCCACATGCATCTCCTGAGGTTAAGCATATCTGGGAGGGGTGGGGTGGTAGAATGGAGGCCTTTCTGCGCTCAGTCACCCATCTGTTTCCAGCATATCATTTCTCATATTTAATCTCTGCAAAAAAGCTATTGAGCCATCCAAACGCAGTCTTTAGGAGGGCTGCATTAGCTTACAATGAGAAGGTGGTAACTCACTTTAGCATCAGAACAAATTAATTAAAATATGTAAAAATATTTTATAAGGGCCCTAGACAGATTTACAGATTTGGGAGTGAGAAAGTGGGAAGAGTCTTTCTCAATCTCTCTTTCTCTCTCTCTCTTTCTCCCCTCCCATCTTCTCATGAGAACTAGATAAGCTTCACAAAATCATTTAATTGAACAACCCTAGCAAAACCAGTTAGTCAGGTGTAGTGATCCACATATATAATTCCAGCTCCTCAAGAGGTGGAAGCAGGAGGATCCTGAGTTCAAGGCCAACTCAGGCAGAGATGGAGAGATCCTGTCTCAAAATCAGAATAAAAATAGCCCATCCATGGTGGTTCACACCTGTAATCCCTGCTACTCCAAAGGCAGAGATTAGAGCACCGGGTTCAATACCCAGTACTGCAAACAAACAAAACAAACAAGAACAAAACACAGTGATGGCTGAAGGCCAGTTACTGAGTATTTCCCACTTCGACAAGATGAGAAGCTTTAACTTGTGAAAAGATCAACACTGACTAGACACAAACACTGGACTAGGTAACAATGGGGATATGGACATGGAGTTGCAAATTATGCCATCGAGGGACACAGGACACTTCATGAAGGTCACAGCTCCTCCACACCTGCCTATGCCAGTGCTCTATGTTCCTCACCATTGCTATAAGATTGTATACTACAACTAAACACAGCCTTAAATTCTCTTTCCATTATGTAAACTAACTGTGATATTTATATACATTCATATGATGTACTCTGATTAAATTCATTCTCTCCAATACTCTTTCTTGAACTTCCCCTCCCTGCCCACTCCCTTTTCAACAGTCTTTAGTGGGTTTCATTATTATCATAATATGTGTAACATACTTCAGTCTTCTCCTCCTCCTCCTCCTGTTCCTCCTTCTCCTCCTCCTCTTTCTCCTCTTCCAGGCCTTATAATTGTTAGGCAGGCACTTTACTACTTGAACCATGCCCCTAGCCATTTTTTTGCTTGAGTTTATCTTTCAAAAAGGGTGTTGTTTTGTTCAGGGCTGTCCTTGAACTGTGATCCTCTTACCTCCACCTCCCAGATAGCTGGAATTTCTGGTGTGCACCACCATGTCTGGCTTATTTGTTGAGATGAGAAATTGCAAACTTTTTGCCCAGACTGTCCTCAAATCACAATCCTTCCTATCTCTGCCTCCAAAGTAGCTTGGATTACTAAGTAGCCACCATGCCAAGCTAATCATCTTCTTTATTGCTGAGTAATACCCTATTGTGTGTATGTACTACATTTTCTTTATCCAGTCACTGATTGTTGAGCACCTCAGCTGATTCCATAACTTGGCTATTGTAAATAGTGCAGCTATAAACATGAGTGTACAGGTATCTCTATTTTATGTTGAGTTACTTTCCTTTGGATACACACCCAAGAATGATATAGCAGGGTAGCATGGTAGCTCTAGCTTTAGATTTTTTAGGAAACTTCATACTTATTTTCATAGTATTGCACTAACTTACATTCCCACTAAGAGTGTATAAGGGTTGCTTCCTTACTCCTATTCTTGCCAGCCTTTGTTGTTGCTTGTTTTCACCCATTCTGACTGGGGTGAGAGGGAATCTTAGTTTCATTTTGATTTTTATTTCCTTTATGGCTAAGAATGTCTGATATTTTTTCATGTATTCATTTTCTATTTGTACTTCATCTTTTGAGAACTGTTCAATTCATTTGCCTATTTGCTAATAAGATTGTTATTTGGGTGTTTAATTTTTTGAGAGCTGAAGAACAGCTTACAAAGAGTTTTCTCCCATTCTGTGGGTTCTCTCTTCATTCTTGTAAATGTTTCCTTTGATGTACAGAAGCTTTTCAGTTTGATGCAATCCCATTTGTCAATTCTTACTCTTTTTTCCTGAGTAATCAGAGTCCTATTAGAAAGTCTTGGCTTATGCCTATTATCTTCAAGTGTTTTCCTGTAGTACTTTCAATGTTTTAGGTCTTATATTAAGATCTTTGATCCATTCTGAATTGATTTTTGTACAATGTAAGAGAAAGATCTAGTTTCAGTCTTCTCCATATTGATATCCAGTTTCCCCAGCACCATTTGTTGAAGAAGCTATTTTGTCTCCAAGTTTGGTTTTGATTCTTTTGTCAAAAATCAGATGGATGTAGCTGTATGAGTTTATTTCTGGGTGTTTTATTTTTTTTAATTGGTCTATGTGTCTGTTTTGTGCTAGTACTATGTAGTTTTTATTACTATGGCTCTGTACTATTATTTTAAGTCAGGAATTATGATACCTACAGAATTGCTTAAGATTGCTTTGGCTATTGAGGGTATTTTATGCTTCTATATAAACTTTAGGATTGATTTTTCCATTTCTATGAGGAATTACATGGAATTTTGGTGGGTATTGCATTTATTATAGGCTGCTTTTAGTAATATATCCATTTTCATAATATTAGTTCTGCCAATCCGTGAACATTGCGGTCTTTCCATCTTCTAGTGTCATCTTCAATTTGTTTCTTCAACATTTTAGTTTTCATTGTAGAGGTCCTTAATCTCCTTAGTTAAGTTCATTCCTAGGTATTTTTTTTTTTGGGTAATTGTGAATAGGATTGTTTTCCTGATTTCTTTCTCAGCCTGTCAATTTTTGGTATATAGAAAAGCTACTAATTTTTGTATGTTGATTTTGCATCCTGTGACTTTGCCAAAAGTGATTTTTAGATCTAAGAGTTTTTGGATGGAGTCTTTAGAATCTTTTGCTAGCTTAAATTCTTGCAAACAAATGAGCATCATTTTATGTTCTATAGATTTGTTCTTTGTGAATAAGTAATTCACAGATGACAGTTTTGTTAATTTTCTGCATTTGAAATTATACCACAAGAAACTAGCTTATTAGAATATTATGTGAACACCAGTTTTTTTAAAAAGCTATGGGCTTGGAAAGTGTACTTTAGATGTAGTTCAAACCAGTACATCATGTGCTTTGTGACTGTGAGCCAAGCATTCTGTCTATCTGGGCTGAATTTCTCACACATCAGACATAAATGTGCACAAAATGATCTAAAAGACTTCTAGTGTTTGCTGAAAATCATTCTGGGAAAATTAAAATATTGCATATGATCATTTATTCATATATCATTCAGAGACTCTGTACTTATAAAGACACAATTAGGGAAGGGGGGAGAAATGACCCAAACATTGTATGCACATATGAATAAAAAAAAATTTTAAAAAAGCAAACTGATATTGATATCTGAAAAAAAGACACAATTAGGACCTATTATAACACTTACTAATTTCTTAGGTTATTAAGTGTAAAGCAGCTGTGCTATGGGAACTGAACACACCATTCTCCATTGAAGAAATAGAAGTTGCCCCACCAAAGGCTAAGGAAGTTCACATTAAGGTAAGAAAGGGCCTTGGAGTACACAAGCCTATAATGCGATCACACCTATATGGAGAAAATCATTGTTATGACATTAGATTTTTAAATAAGGAGTTGTTTGATAAATTTGGGTACTAATTCTTCCACTGTATCTTGTATATTAAGAAAATGTTCATACTGGTTGTGAAATTACCCATTAAAAACAACAGAACTAATCTACTATATTAAAGCTTTCATTTGATTAAAAATAGTGAATAGTCATGACTAATGACTTCATTTAAAAATCATCTAGGAGTCAGATTTACTAAGAATACTTTCAACAGGTAAAGAGGAAGTCATTTGCACCCGAGCAATAACAGCTTCCTAGTGCATTTCCCTCATTCCTTTGGACAGAGCCACACCTTTGGTTAGGGCACCAGTTGTTGAGTAGGCATTGCTGCCAGTCTTCCTTGACCCTGTCCTCTTACCTGAGCATGGGAGCAACTGTAAGATGTATCTTGTACACTATTCCTTCCACCCTTCATTACAAGAGTTCTAGCTACAAAAATCTACCCTTGTGCCAGTGACATGCTAACATCTGTGTTCTGTTTCCCTCACAAGAAACACCAGTTTTCTGAATAAAGACACCAAGATTTTATGTGCAGCCAGTGTAAGTCCCTTGAAGAGAGGGAACTTGTCTGGTAATTGGTTCAGAATCTTCTAAAAGTCAGTACTATCATATTATAAAATGATGTGGAACAAACAGTTTGCTTTTAACAATTTGCTCTTAATTTCTTCAGGAGCAAATTAAATATTCTCCCAAATGTAGAATGATCAGTTTGCTGGTTGGTGCAATGTTTTCTTGTTTAACACAGATTTTGGCCACAGGAATCTGTCGCTCAGATGACCATGTGATAAAAGGAGCAATAGTGTCAAAGTTTCCAGTGATTGTGGGACATGAGGGAACAGGGGTTGTAGAGAGCATTGGAGAAGGAGTCACTACAGTGAAACCAGGTATGCAGATGTCAAGTCTTGGAGTAAGTAGGCTTTGATTATCCCATCAAAGGAAATAGAACTTGCAGGGATTGTTAGGGAAAGTGGCAACCCAATTTAGGTAGAAGCAAAGAAAAGGGATTATACTGAGTAATAATTTGGAAAAATCTCAGTGTTTAGAAGGCAAACCTTATAGTGCTTATAAACCTTAGAATACAGTAAAGAAATTTTTGCTGGGCTCTGTGTTTCATGCCTATAATCCTAGCTACCTGGGAGGCTGAGATTGAGAAGATCACAGCTCAAGGCCAGCCTGGGAAAATAGTTCTCAATATCCCCCCATCTCAACCAATAGCAAAAAGTGAGACCCTATCCCCCAAAATAATAAAGCAAACAAAGGCCAGAGGTGTGATTCAGTGATAGAGCGCCTGACTAACAAGCATGAGGCCCTGAGGTACCAAAAAATTTTATGTGTAGTATGGGCTCAATTCATATTCATGTATCGAGTATTTTAATATTAATGAACATTACCTTATATCATGATGCTTTTCCTCTAGGTGACAAAGTCATCCCTCTCTTTCTGCCTCAGTGTAGAGAATGCAATCCTTGCCGTAAACCAGAGGGCAATCTTTGCATCAGAAGCGAGTAAGTGTCATTCATTTTTACTCTAATGTCATTTGAGTTTCCCTGGCTACTTTTTTAAAATTTGAATTAACAAATATGTGTATTTGCTGTTTTATATAGTTTGACTGGTCGTGGAGTACTGGCCGATGGCACGACCAGATTTATGTGCAAGGGCAAACCAGTCTACCACTTCATGAACACCAGCACATTCACTGAGTACACAGTGGTGGATGAAACATCTGTTGCTAAAATTGACGGTGCAGCTCCTCCTGAGAAAGTCTGTTTGCTCGGTTGTGGATTTTCTACTGGATATGGAGCTGCTGTGAAAACTGGCAAGGTAAGAAACAGGGTAGAAGAACTTCTTTCCTTTTTGAAATGCATGAATCTTGAAGGTATTTGAAAATAAATGAAAGTTTTGAAAACGTGTTTTCAGACTATATCTGTACAGTGTCAAATCAACTGGAAGAAAAAATCATAATAGAAAATTTATTTCTAAATGGAAATAAATCTCTTTTTGTTTTCTCCACATCTCTATGTTCAATTTCTGAGATTTAGACTTCTAAAATTAAAATGCATATCAATGCAGATGCATTTCTTTGCTAGAGCTGATCTAGCAAAGACTATGACTGTATGTTAAAGACTATGTTAAAGCCACATAGACTACATACAGACTCTGTGGCTTTAACAACAAAAATTTACTGTCTTATGGTTCTGGAGATCAGAAATCCAAAATCAAAGTGTTGGCAAGGTTGGTTCCTTTGGGGGGTTTCAAGGGGAGGACCTGATCCCGGCTCTTTTCTTGGCTTATAGATAGCCTTCATTTCCCTATGGTTCTTCTTCACATCATCTCCCCTGTGCGTGTTCCTATAACAAAATACCTGAAGCTTCATACTTATAAGGAAAAGAGGTTTATTTAGCTCACAGTTTTAGAGGCTGAACATTCAGGATCATGTAGCCCTATCTGTTCAGCCTCTGGCAAGTGCCCTTAGCAGAGTCACAACATAGCAAAGAAGCGAGAAGGGAAACAGCATGGCCAAGGTCATTGAATGGTCTCATCTTGTATCCACCTACTCTCAATGGAATTAACTACAGTCCCATGAGAACTATGTTAATCCCTTTGGGCCAGCACCCCAATGACTTTATCACTTCCCACTAAGCTCCACCTCTTGAAGGTTCTACTACCTCTTGCACTGCCACCCCAGAGACTAAGCCACCAGCATATGAAAAGAAACCATGTAGTGCAATTCAAACCATATCTAAACCATAGCAAAGCCCTACCTTAATGACCTCACTACAGTTTGGTTGCTCTTGTAAACACCCTCTCTCCAAATAAGGTCAGATAGTGAGGTAATGGAGATGAATATTTCAATATATGAATAGGAGGACACAATAAAATCCACAATGACTGGTATTTAAAATGAAAGCATTAATGAATTTTTAAAACTGATTATTTTGGACTGCATCCTTTTTGAGTAAAAGAAGTACACAGAATAATACACAATTCATAAACAGTAAAATAGTTCCAATAAGCAATTTGAGCAATCACCATATAGCAGAGGTCTCATCCAACTCCAAAGACTTAAAAATTTAGCAATGCATTGGCTGATTCCAAATTTATATCTTAAATTCCAAGTCCAAATTCTTTCATCCAACTTCCTACTTGATATCTCCATTTGGATATCTCACAGATATCTCAAATTTAATATGTACAAAACTAAATTAATTTTGTCTTCCTCTTGCCCTCAAATATATTTACTTCCATTTGATTTTCTCCATCCTGGATCTTCACTCTTCATCACTTTACATCCAGTCTATCAACATGTCCTGTTGGCTATAACTATGAGATATGTTTTCAATCTCACCATTTCCTTCAACTCACAACACCATTATATTGTGACTACATTGATGTGATGGGCTCCATACTATTTTCCCCTTTGTTCTTCTTGATCATTTTCAACAACTTTTTATTTCCAAGCCAAAGTAATCTTTATAAAAGATTATTCTGATTGCCTGAAATACTAATTCCCCAGCTCTGTGTAATTAACATCACTCCCAGTTTAAAATCACCTGCCTACTCATGGAAGCTCTATTTTTTTTCATTCTATTCCACGTAAGTACCAACCTTTTCAAGAAAACATGATTGTTTCTTCAATAGCATATGTACTAAACTCATTGTATCTTTAATTTTCTCCATTAGACCACAGTCCTATGATGGTACGGACCAAAGCTCCTTTACTTATTGCATTATTTAGCAAAGAGCTTGGCCATAGTAATAGCTTAAGAAATATTAGTAGGAAAAAAAGGTAAGTGAATAAAAGAGGGGGCTATACAAATATGTGGAAGAGTGAAAAGATGAAAGGGCTTGTGGAAAGCATTAATATGGAATATTGAGGTAGAAATATTTATTATAGATATGGGTTCAAGACAGGTCTGATGTCTATGAATGTATAACATCAGAATTCATGCACCTACCAATAGCACATGTTAGCTACCACTTGCTTCCAGATTTCCTAGACAAAGTATGGGAATGGAGTATTCATTCCCAGGGTCTCCTAGGGATTTTGCAGTAACAACTGTCTTCCAATATAGATGTAAAAGGAGATAGACTGGATAGTTTTACACATTCTTCATATTTTTTATTGTATTTAACGTACTGGTACCATATTAGTACTTGGTTGATGCATTATTTACTAAGACACTTGGCACTTTTAGATATACTATTTTTCCCCTGGTAGCTTTAAGACAAATAACTTTCACAAATGTACATTTTTGTGTTTGCCCATGCACATATAGGGCAAACTGTCAATATTGGGGTATACTATACCCCAATAGTTTTGATGATTCATTAGAAGGTTTCAAGAAATGTTTTTAGACTTGTGGTTATGGTTATTATGGTGAAAGAATAGAGATTAAAATCAGTAAAGGAAAGGAACATTCAGGGTGCAGTGCAAGAGAGACTGGGCCCAAGCTTCTGATGTCCTTTCCCAGGAGTTGCATGGACAGCACATGATTCTCCCAGCAGTGATATGCTACAACACATGCAAAGTGTGATCAGTAAGGGAAGCCCACCATGTCCAAAGTTTTTACTGGGAGCCAGGTGTGAACATGTAACATCCAAATGACTAATCTCGGATACTCAGATCCCAGCCTACCCCCAAAAGTCAACTTAATAGTCCAAAGCCCCAAGTACAGTAAGTCAAGAGTAGTGCCATAAACTATCAACCATGGCCTAGGATCCCATTTATATGGATACTTACTTATCAAGCAGAATATTGCACGCTCAAAAGTTATCTCTCAGCCGGGCACCACTGACTCACACCTGCAGTCCTAGCTACTGGGGAGCTGATCCAGAGGACAATAGTTTGTGGTAAGCCTACCTAGGCAAGGAGTTTGCAAAACCCCATCTTAACCAATAGCTTGGTGAATTGTCACACATGTGCTGTCACCCTCAGCTGTGCTGGAAGCTGAGCTGCAGTGATCACAGTTCCAAGCCAGTCTGGGCAAAAAAGTTAACAAGACCCCCATCTCAATGGAAAAAATAGCTGGGCATGATAGTGTGCACCTGTCATCTCAGTGAGGGCAGGAAGCTTAACACAGGATGATTGCAGTCCAAGTCAACCTGGGCTAAAAATAAGACCCTGTCTCCAAAAGTCTATTCATTTACATATAACTCAGAGTCATGGTTATTCAGAAGATGTTAGTCAGGTCAAACTTAGAACAGATTTAGCATGGCTTTGTGGAGAAGAGACAATGGTGCTTTAATTCTGCTGTGAGGGTGGATGGAGCAGGGAGTGATTGCCAAGAAGGCTACAATAGCTCCCAGAGAAAAAGTAACCATTTAGGAAGGGTTTTCATTTATCTGGCAAATACTGGTTTTGTTTTGGCAAACACTCCTTTTCTCAAACATTCTTTTTCTAATCCTCTTTGTGGCATTATATCAGAAAGAGTCATCCAGTCCTAGCTGACATCTTGGCTAGCGATTCTCTGAATTTTATGTTCCTAATACTGGATGTATTTTGCAGGTATCAAATACCTTTTGACCCTACTGTTAACAGAATAACTTTTCTATCTACAGGTCACACCTGGTTCCACTTGTGTTATCTTTGGCTTGGGAGGAGTTGGTCTATCGGTTATCATGGGCTGTAAGTCAGTGGGTGCCTCCAGGATCATTGGCATTGATCTCAACAAAGACAAATTTGAGAAGGCCCTGGCTGTTGGAGCCACTGAGTGTATTAGTCCCAAGGACTCTGCCAAGCCCATCAGTGAGGTGCTGTCAGAAATGACGGGCAACTCTGTGGACTACACTTTTGAAGTTATTGGGCATCTTGACACCATGGTAAGAGCAAAGATTCAGGGAACCACAGAATACCTAAACTATTAAATACGTAAAAGGTAAAGTTCATTTTCTGTAGTTTTATAATGAGCTATGAAAATATCTATTTCTTAGGCAGAAAAAAAACAAAAACAAAAAAATCCCCTGATAACCACATAGCAATTTTGCCTAAACATCAACATCTTAGGAGAAGTCCTACCTAACTAAAGCTAAGTATCACATCATACCATCTCATCTGTTTAGAGGGCAAGGAGTCAACCCATCTAGATGAAATTTTAAAGTGTTATCTTTCTTGTGTATGTGCAATTCTTGGCAAAGATCATCCCATCTCTTGAATTTTAGTTTGCCATCTAAGCACCACAAGGTGACTCCATGAGGAGAGATATGGTGGAGATACAGGTAGAGAGGGGTGCTAGTCAGTATGTCGCAAACTCTTCCCCAGAATCCATGATCTATCCACCTTCTTACTCTTTTCACTCGAACTTGGACTTCCTTTATTTAATTCCCTAGATATTCTAAAACATGCCTCCTTTGTGGCAGCCAGCAGTGCCAGATCTGTGAGGAATTTGTAAGCCAGCTTGGGATGGGCAAGGAAACTTGGAAAAAGCTAGTTTTGCTCAGGATTGAATAGCACATTAAATTCGCTTTAAGGCTTTTGGTAACTTAGGAACAAGTAGCCTCTCTGTACCTTTTTTGCCATATCCCTTCCTTAGTGTCGCTTAGAATTTATTCCATAGCAACAAATGGCACTCAGTTGTGTGTTTACAGAGCAATATGCAACCTTGGACATATTAGGGGGCCTATCAATTTTGAGATGATACTTTGAGGAACATCGGTCTCTGAAAAACCCCAAAATCTGTTGTTACAACCTAGGAAATATTTACAGGTATTATTAATTAATAACCAAATGAGTGAATGATCAGAAAATATGGAGTTAGGCTGAGATATTTCTAAGAAAAAAAAAAGACTCCTTTGTCTCACACTTTATATTTTATTTAAACTACAAACTAAATTTGTTTTTAAAACTATGTGAATTTGCTATTTGAATTTCATTTCTTTTGAATGACTTCTTAAAGGCTTCTCCGAAGCAGTGATATTGGTATGAAAACATCGCAAGGATTTTCCCCCGGGTTTAGTATATTGTACACTGAAGATGGCATGTACACTGACCACACTAATGCCTGCTTTTTGCCTTAAAGTACATATGTGTCTAGAAATTTAATACTAAAGTTTTATTGAGGTTTTTTTTTTTTTTTTTTTAAAGCAGAGGACTTTATTGTGCTGACTCAGGAAATTCAGGAAAAACTGGTGTTTTGAGATCTGCTTCCCTAATGCTTCAATTCCATTATGTGGCAGTTAGGATGAGTGATTATTTGGTATGCTGTCCAAAGCAATTGCCTCCCATGCAGGTCTCACCACACCAGGAGGAAAGTGCCATTTTCCTCCTTAGTCCATGGTCTGAGTTAAGAGTTCATTTTAGGAGCCAGGGAGTTGTGCTCCAGAACCTAGTAATCCTGTTAATTTGGGCCTTTAGAGATGCACAAATAATGAGGACACCGCCTCCCCCCCACACTTGTGCACATTAAACCCAAACTTCTTAAGATCTTTCAACCGCAGAAGCTAATTGTGAAGTGATTGTGTATTTATGTGCTTATGTTGGGCCTACCCTGTAATTGTGAGCTCTCTATGCTAATTAGGACAGTTGGGTTTGCCCAAAGCTATAGACTTATGCTTGTCACCATACCTAAACAAGCAGTTTGCATGGTTTTAGTAATTAGGTTGCGACTATTAGGTAAGTCATGCAGCTCCAGGACCAAGTCAGCTCGTATTAAATTTAAGTCTCCCCTCCCCACCTCTCGTTTTAACTATATCAGCACATCTCACCGATCAGAAAAGGACAGTTTGGCATTTAGGGTTATGGCATAAGGTGTGGCAGGCAACTTGGGAAGTGGCGTGTGGTTGCACTCACCACACAGCGGAGCCCCTGCTATACCTGCCGACCTCCTTTAGATTCTAGGGGACGCATCCTCCCCGAAAACTGCCTACCCCTCCATTAGCCAGGAGCTAATCTGGGTCTTGACCCTGTCGCTCGCGGTTAAAAGGACCGATCGTGGGCGGTCCCAGTTATGCGCGAGCACGTGCTCTGGAGCTGCAGCTTAATCCCTGGCGCCACGCGCAGGCGCGACGGGGGCTCAAAGGCAGCGCATTTATTGAGATTTTTTAAAAAGCAAGTAGAAACCCAAAGACCTGTGGGCCTCATATGATTTCATGACTTGGAAACTGAGCTGACTACTTGGAACTGTGATAGTTCATAGGTCATTTCTGAGCTCACAAGATACGACGCACAAGAAGCAAATAATCTCCTTTATTTTAAACTCAGCTTGATGCCCTTTCATCCTGCCATATGAACTATGGAGGTAGGTGCTCCTCCATCAGCCAAGATGCTCAGCTATGACCCAATGCTGCTCTTCACTGGGCGCACGTGGAAGGGGTGCGTCTTTGGAGGTGAGAGCAGCAGAGCCTCTGTACATGGGGTGGTGATTTTACCTCTGTTGCTTGGCAGGTGAGAGAAGTCTATTCCGTCATCACAGCTCCCTTAAAGAGCTTTCTTCCAAAGTTGAGTATGAAGTAATCTACAGTAGAACTGTAACCACCTTAACATGAGAGATAATTTTCCACTCCTTACCTTGATTTAGGGCTGATATTGGTGGGCATATTTTTACATTAGTGTCTGCAACTCAAATTATTCAAAGACCTGAATAAAAGGACCAGCACTGTCATTGTTGGGATAATTATGTGGCAGGAAGTTCTGATGGAATCCATTATTCTCCATATACAAAAATGAGTATGAAAAGTAGAATTTATTAAATTCACAATGGCATCATCAAACATTCTAGATCCAAAGCCAAAATAAATAGATAAATGAGGAATTGTGGAGTTATTGGCACTTGTTGAGAGAAAAAACTGTGGGGGGAACAGGTTAAGGGCTAGCATGGGGGTAATGGAAATCAACAGTGGTTTTGGGTATGGTAATGTCTGGATGCCTATCAGACCTCTGCACAGAGGTATAGACAGCTGGAGGTATAGACTAGCTACAGCTAGTGTCTGTAGCTCAGGGAGAAACCTAGAATGAAGATATTAACTTGGGTGTTTTAAATATAGTTTATTTAAAGCCATGAGACTGGAGAAAATGACCCTGAGAGTAGATGTAGATAAAGAGGAGAAACTGTCTGAGGACCAAGCTTGGGAACACATTAGAAGTCTGGCGAATATGGAGGATTAAACAAAAGATCTCCTTACACTATTTGAGGTAGCTAACAATGATAATGATAATGTAGTAACTAGAAGCCAAGAGAGCCGCTAAGTATGTCATATCTGCCTCATATTCATGTTAGTCCAGAACTCATAGTTGGCCACTGTGTCCAAATGAAGGTCAAGGTTGACCTTGACAATAGGTGTTACATTAAAGTTCTGGGGGCAATAGCCTAATCTAAGTGCTTTCAGAAGACAAGGAAAAGAACTGCAGCCATAAAGGAGACAATTCTTCCTATTGTTTTCTGCAGCAGGAGCAGAGATGTTTGGCAGCTAGAAGGAGATACAGGACTTAAGAATGATTTTTTTTTGGCCTTTATTTCTTAAGATGGGAGAAATAAGGCTTATTTGTATGCTGCTGGGAATGATCCAGTGCAAGGAAAAAAAGTAATAATGAAGGACAGAGAAGGCACAAATGTTAATCAATAAAGCATAAAAATTATTTAATGAAGTCTAAAGAAAAAAATGTGCTCTTATTTATAGGTTGGAAAAGCAGAGATGATGTACCTAAACTAGTGACTGATTTCCTGGAAAATAAATTTGATTTGGACCAGTTGATAACCCATGTTCTACCTTTTAAAAAAATCAATGAAGGATTTGAACTGCTGAATGCAGGGCAAAGGTATCGATTTTATGGTGATTTGTCTCTTCTTCATAGACTACTTTTAAACTTAGCATTATAAATAAACTGTCTTTTATTTCTGATGATTTAAGCTAGC